TTTGAAAAAAAAACAAGTGTCAGACTGACACTTAAAAAGAAATAATATTATATGCTGTTATCATTACGATGTCAGAAGAGCCCAACGGGAGCAAGTTAGGAGGGAGTTTACCCCCTGGGAACACCAACACCGAGCTGAGAGCATGCTCAGAGGCCACGTCCGTGGATGTCAGCTTGAGAGAGCCAAGCTGTGACAGCGTCAGGAGTCCAGGGCTTAAATACAGCCCCGCCCCGGACAGAGACCGAGTGGGGCCAGACGGCCCAGGGCTGGGACACGAGGCGGGCCCCAGAGCCCAGGAGCCTGTCTGAGCTGCCTGTCCAGGACCAAGCGTCTTGGTGGCCGTTAGGCCTGTCTGGGCCACTGGCCACCCTGCTGAATGGGGTGTCCCTGTGGGGCCACGACTGGAAATTCTATCATGACACACCAGCCTACAAGACACATGGCTGAGCTGGCACAGTGAGTTTTTTAGCAAGCAGAGTAGAAGACAGACCTTGGGGTGCAGGGTCTCTATTAAGGTGCCACCCCCCTTCCTGTGACATGTGGCCAGGAAATGGAAGGAAGGATCAAAGGTCAAGGCCAATTTCCTCTAAACAAATTTCATGTGACATGATACCTGAGGTTCAGGATTTAAAAGCAAAGTAAACATGGCTCCCAAATGAAATCAATGTTCCAGAGTCCATCTTGAACAAATGGCAGAACTTTCTGGTAGAACAAGTCAAGTTTCTCCAAGAACAACTGGAACAATATAGAGGATGGAGCGGGGGCGGGCTGGGGGCACTGGGTGTGTTTTCACTCAAAATCAGACAATGACATAGAAGGCAAAGGTGTGGGCTGCAGGGGTTAGGGTTCCTCACTGCCCTCTCAGAAAATCTGGGCTCCCCCACTAAGTGTTTATCTGTCAGAGGGGGCCTGATTGACTCTACCCCCAGCCAGTGTGTGAGGGCCTGAGGCTTTCACCTTTTATCTGTCTGGCCAACTGCACGCAGGAAGAGCCCAAGAACAGCTGTTGAACTGATGGATAACTGATGGAACAGCAAACATTTATTCTGTGCTCACTAAGCATCAGGAGCTGCTCTGGGCGCTCCAAGAAGATAATCTTCTTGGATAATCTTCCTCTGACAACAGTGTGGGGAGGAATCCCTAGTCTCAAGATACAGATGGGAAACTGAGGCTCAGGGTGGAGCTAGTCACCTGCCTGCAGTCACACCACCACGGGAGGCATCCGGGACAGAGATTTGGGCTCTGGAAGGGTGCACTGGTAGAGGGCTGGGCAGGGGATCCTTAGAGAAGGGGACTAGAATGCCAGGCTGGGAGCTGAACTCCCTTGCCACTAGCCCCTCCCATCCCCACCCCCGCATTGTTTTGTTTTGCTTCTTCCAAAGAGGTAAGATGGATGGAGAGAATGTCTGAAGAAATTTCAATTGCTTTTATTCCCAGTGCTTTAAATAACAGAGCAGAAAAGGGCTTCCCTGGTGGCACGAGGGGTTAAGCACAGTTCTATGAAGCTGTCTGCAGCCACTGCAGCACAAGTTCGATCCTCAGCCAGGGAGGTGACCCACATGGCTCAGAGGACTGCTCCTGTCTTGCCTGCTGCCCTTAGCAGCATATTTCAGTAGATCTGTCTGTTCTGCTCCCCACTCTGTCTCTGGTGAATCCTTTCATTTCATCCCTACACCTCTGGTACCCCAGTTCTTGTATGCATAAATAAATATTTTTTAAAAAAACAGCTTTCTCCCTGGTGGCACAGCAGGTTAAAGCACAGCACTGAGAAGCTAAAGCCACTTTAACACGAGTTCGATCCCCACGCCAGAGGTGACCCACAGGGTGCAGCAGACCTCTCCTGACCCACCCGCTGCTCCCCTCAGCAGTGTACTTCGTCGATCTGCCTTCTCTGTCTCTGGTGAAGCCTCTCACCTCCCCTGCACCTCTGGTCTGTACCTGAGTTCTGTATGAATAAATAACCTTAAAAAAAAAAAAAGCTTTATTGAGATGTAATATACATCCCATCCAATTTGCCTAATTCCATGACTTCAATTTAGTCACAGATGTGGCCGCCATCACCATGGCCGATCTTAGCCTGTTTTCTTCACTTCAGAGAGTCCCCAGTGCCCTTGGCTAGCACCCACCCCTCCTGCCAGCCTCGCTAATCTACGTTCTGTCTCCACAGATTGGCCTATTTTTTGTAGAGAAGGGGTCACGGCTGCGATGCCCTGAGTGTTTTCGGGGCTCATCCTGTTATTTTCATGACTGTATAATATTCCACGACGAGGGTTCACCACATTTTGTGTGTTGCTTTCACCCTTTGGGCTATTTCCACCTTTTGACAGCTGCAGACTGTGCTGCTGTGTATGTTAATGTGTTTAGGTGTGAAGCCCTGTGATGACTCCATGTCTCACATTTTGTGGGTCTGCTGAACGGCTTCACATTCCCGCCATCAGTATGTGAGGGTTCCCATTTACGGCGCAGCGAGAGGGCACCCCAGAACTCCCAAACTCCCTGTCCATTCTAAGTAGGTTCTGCCATCCACTGCAGCAAGACAAAACATGCTCCCGTGTCTAAGACCTTCAACAGGAGGAACTTGAGCACAGGCAGTGTGCGACACAGAGAAGACAGTGCAGTTCCCGATCCAGCACCTGAAGTCACCTTTCTCCTTGCGGGTGAATGCCCAGCCAAACAGGTGGCCCAAAGCAGGCCCACTGAGGCACAGAGCCTCTCACACGGCTAAGGCACTCCCGGTGGGGCCACAGGAAAGGGTAGAAGAGGCCCAGCCCATCTGGGACAAAAGGAGCCAGACCAAAATCAAGATAAAGGCTGCCGTTGTCACCCTCCCGATGTCGAGGTCTCTCGCCCGCATCTGTTTCCAGTGTCTCCCTTGTCCCAAGTCCAAGCCCAAGAAGTCAGCACAGCTCCGCGCACGTCTCCCTGCTCCCCGTGCCTCCTCCAGGCCCTCTCCGGCACCTCATCCTCTTCCTTCCTCCCCCAGCCTCCTCCCCAGCTTCTCCTCCCTGCTCAGCACCCCTTTCCTTGGGGGGGCAGGGAACCCGGAAGCTCCCCTTTTCCTGGGGACCCCGTCACAGTTTCACGCTGTCCTCACCAGCACTTGTTATTAAGTCTTCTTTACTTTAACCGACCTGCGGCCTGTCTTAGCTCACCAAGGTTTAGGTTTGCGTTCCCTGAATGACCATTGCTATTGGCCTTTTTCATGGGCTTATTGGCCATTGGTCCTTCTCTGGAAGGACGTTTAAATCTATATCCATTAAAAAAAAGATTTATTTATTTATGCATACA